CTCTTTCCCCCATTTAACAGGTCAGAAAACTGAGGCACAGAGAGGCTTCATGGCTCCTAATTAGAGTGGTCTTCTAGGCAATGACTTCACTCATTTATGCCTCTCTTCACTAGGGAAATAGGAACATAGAAGGGTCCGAGCTGTGAAGATAAACATGCATGGTAGCGGTTCCTTTCCTGCCCCAGCGGGACTGTGACTAAGGGAGAACTGGACAAGTGTGTGCGGTGGTTGATTGTGCTGTGAGGGTGCCTGGACTGTGCTCCAGCCTCTGCGGTCCTAGTGCTCTGGAGTTTGGCTGCATCAGTCAGCCTCGTCTTCCCGGACAGTCTGTGGATTCCCCAGTGTCTCTGGGTGGGACTGTTGGGGAACGTTGCGGTCTAGGATTTAGCCAGGGCTGCCGTGGTTGGACCTGCTAGCAAACCTTGATCCTGGAAAAGCTTAAAGTCTGTTTCCCCCAAATTCCACGAGTAGGTAAACTGACACGGGCTGGCATATGTGAAAAGGCCATAGTCCTCTTGCAGCTAAGTCTTGAGGGATTATATTTAGGCAGGTATTAATAGTTCTGCCACGAGGAACACTCCCCCCTCCGACCAGTAGTGCATCCAGACCGATGCTTAGGATTTCATCAGGAAAAGGCCAGTTCCACATCGAAAGGCTACTCTTTTTATAAAATAAACTTAAATTTTTAGAACAGTTTTGCATTGACAGAAAAATCCCATTATATATCATTCACCTCTAACACCGGTGGGGTATATTTCTTAAACCCAGTAAAGAAATACTGATAGATTATTATTAACTTAATGTCCATAGTTTGTTCAGGTCTTAAGTAAGTTTTACCTGACGTCCTTATCATCCCAGGATACGACACCCCACTTTATTATTGTGTCTCCTAGGCTCCTCCTTTTGGCTGTGACGATTTGACTTTCCTTGTCTTTGACGACTTCAAGTGTTTTGAAGTGTACTGATTAGGTATCTTGCAGGATGTCTATTGGGATCGAATGTGGGCTTGTGAGTTCTTATGCGAAGGATCACAGACGTTCTAATCACATACGAAGCATACATAGGTCCTGCCGACGTGACTTTGTGGCTGTTGGTGTTGACTTCGCTCATCTGGTTGAGATACCGTTTCTGAGGCTTTTCTCATCGTACTTAGTTACCCCCCTCCACCTCTACGTTGTATTCTTCGGAAGAAGAGTTAAAACCTGGTACCTAGTCGTCCGTAGCTCATAAGTCATTATTTTAAAGTGTTTTCCACCGTACCATTACAGACACAAAACCTGTCGAACAACAGTTGTTTCTTTAAGAAACGTTAAGAGGTGTGTTTTAAGATTTTTACGTTGCCAATTCCTTGGAAAGATAGTGCATGAACTGTGGTGACTAGTGGACAAACTTGGATTACCTCCTTTCGAAGCGCAAGCAGATACAAAAATTCATGATTGTTATTATCTGAGATATTCTCCAGTAACTTAAGAGTAGCTCTCAAAGTAAACCTACACAGAACGCAGAAGCGTTGTCTATCGGCAATGAATTTCGCAGGGCTCACGCGGAAAAGAAGACAAAGAAATCTGAGCTCTCTTGAAACTGCTAGCGCCCCCTTAAAATAAAAACAGTTTCACAACTGTTTTTATACAGCTCGGAAAAACTGCCTTTGAACTTTGACCTCGTGGAAAAGAGAAAATTCTTTTTTCCAAAAATTGCACCGAGGTAAAGCGTAGCTTTACCAGGTGCGGGTGTGTTGCATAGGCGTTAGCAGTACTGCCCTCGCTAAGCGCTCATCGGACAGCAACGCAACCCCAAGAAAAGGATGGTTAGCGGCGGCGCGCTTCGCGTCGCGAGAAGCAGGCGCCAACACCGGGTAGGCTTGTGGCGACTAACCCGAGCATTCCACTGCAGCCGCCCGGCAGCGGCGCACCTCTGCTGATCTCGGCTCCCGAAGCTCGCCACCAACTCCCCGTTTTCGGAGGCTTCAGAAGGTCGCAAAGGGGCCGCTCAGTGTTACCCAGAAGGCCACGCGCCAGCTGCGAGCTGATATGCATATGTGCTCTCCGCCGGGGCGGGGCCCTCAGGGGGCGGGGCTGCAGCGCGCGCTCCCACTCTAGAGGGCGGGCGCCCGGGACTCAGGCCGAGGTGGTGGGCGTTGATTCGTGTCTCGACACCGACTATTTCGTGTTAGCGCTGTAAACAGCCCTTTCCGGCAAGCGGCCCCCCTCCTGACACCCGGCTTAACCCTGCGGGTCGGCGCACGCTCCGGCTCCCGGGACGCGTCTGAGCCAGAGATGCGGAGGCGCCCCGGGAGCCGGCGGGCGAGGGCGCGGCGCCCCCCGCCGGCCGCTGACGGGGGCCCGCTGTTTGCCGTTGCAGGTGGTTCTCCTGGGCATGGACATCCTGTCCTCGCTGGTCACCCGGCTGCAGGATCGGTTCAAGGCACAGATCGGCACAGGTGAGCTCTCTCCTCCTCCAGCCCCCGGCCTTCGCTGGGTCTCGCCAAAGCTTCACTTGGCTGGACCCGCCTTCCACCCTTACCCTCTAGTCCCTCACCCCCCAGCCCGCCCCCACCTCCTCCTGCATCTTTAGATGCCACGGCTGCCCTGCTGCCCTCGCCCCCTTCCTGGGCGTGGCCGGATCTGCCACCTCCGCACACCCGCTGGCACCCCACTCCCATATCTTTCTGCTGGCTTCTTCCACCTCCCTGTTCTAGTACCAACTATTACTTTGGTTTCTTCCAGTTAGCCATCAGGCTGTGGTGCCAACCAAGCCCTCCTTCTCCCTGACCCTTCCCTTTGAGAGGCATCGCTTCCTCTCTTTGAGAGTCGTGCAGGTCCGATTCAGCTGTATTGTTAACAGATTTTTGTTGCTATGACTGTTTACATTTTGGTTGTAGATGTCATTTCAAGTGTGTGGTAAATGATCACTCTTATTTTGCAGGGAGAGCAGTAAGTCAGAAAAATGAAATAAAAATAACCCCAGGTTCCGTAGATTAAGAGATGATTTAATTCCCGACCTCTGGGCTTTGATGATGACAATACAAACACTAAGCGTCTCTGTGCAGGCATTTCCTTGTAGAATTTCTCGGTTTCAATTGGTACACGTGTATTTGTTCTTCTGTTAACCGTCTGGTCAGTGTGCACCTTTCGATAAAGTCATGAGCTCTTCCCACTCTGGTACAAACCGCCCATCTGCAAATAAAAAATCCCTCTGAGGAATTTGATGTTTTAGTAGCGTTCCATTTCCCCCTAAATTAGCTGAATTGTTCAGGGCTATCTCTTGTAAAAGAAGTGTTTATAGATCTTTAGAAGAAGCAAAGAAAATTGACCTCTGATACCCAGGTGCCCTTGGAGCAGTAGTGATGGCCCGCCCCCAGCCATATGGAGGAAGGGCGGAGAGCTGCATTCTGTCTGATGAGCTTGGGTGGATGTGATGTAAAAGTAAAAACAGATTGAGCCATAATGCCTGTTCCTCCCCCGCTCTCCTCCCCACTCCCCCCGAGACAGAGTCCCTCTGTCTAACCTGGATTTCCTTTTGTGTTGACTCTTTCTTGCCAAGGTCTTCCATCGACATCCATGTTAATAGCATTTCAGCAGCTTAAAAACATGCTGGAAGCTGCCTAGAGGAAGGTGGGGTAAGGAAGAAGACAGTGTGTCCATGCAAAGGATTTCTGCAGATTCGCCTAGTAGCTCCCGTGGATGGATTTGAGCAGGAAGGGTAGAATTACAGGGGTTGGTGGGTTTAGAGTGATGTGCATCATTTAGGCCAGGAGTTTGAAATATCCACAGTTGGTGACCACAGGCCACTAGACTAGGTTTTCATTTGATCAGTTTGCATTTTAATTTCCAGTGCTGCCGAGTTTAATAGACAGACTGGGCGACGCTAAAGACTCTGTGAGGGAACAAGACCAGGCCCTGCTGCTGAAGATCATGGATCAGGCTGCTAACCCTCAGGTGAGGCGGGGCAGGGTGGGGTCGGGGTGTTCCTGCAGAGCGCCAGTGGGTTTCAGAGGAAAATTTTCATGGCGTTTCATCTGGTCCCTCTTCCCCCCATAGGATATTTAAACAACAAACAGCAGAAGGTATACCTTTGAATAAGTTAGTGGACTTAACATGGGTATCGAGTGCTTGGTTTGATCCATTAGAGTTGAGCTCATTTACATAACTGACTCTGCGCGTCTCTGAAAAGATGCAGCTGTGGTGTCGGGGCACTCAGAGGCCTGGCTGCAGCCCTGGTCCCTGTCTGCTGGTGAGCTGGGGCTGCCAGGGGTCCAGCTGTCCATTGTTGCG